GTGATTGCAGTTTACTAAATGTAAAATTTTTGCATGGATTTTCCATTCTACTGTTTTAATCTATTTAATAAACAGAAATTTATAAATAAAAATTAAATAAATTATTTAACTATAAATTCTTATCAGGAAAAAATCTGTCAAGTCTAGAGCAATTTATAATAATAATTTTAAAAAAACTTAACGCGAACATAATTTTTTTTTGGTTTTGGGTTTTTAATTCTCTTATTTATTTAAAATATTTATATAATACTTATGCTGTTATGGAAGAGCCCTCTCTTTGCAAGCAAAAAGTACTTAGTACAATTCCCACATTTCCTGGTATTATCTCTCTGCACAGCAACCTTATTTGTCACAGTTGTTTTGCAATTAACATTTATTGCGTGCAAACACATTATACATAAATTAAAATAGGCAGTTAAGTTTTCACTTAAAGTAATGTCGTAATGTAGTAATGTTGCTTCAAAATGTAGTAATGTTGCTTCAAAATGTAGTAATGTTGCTTCAAAATGTAGTAATGTTGCTTCAAAATGTAGTAATGTTGCTTCAAAAATGAAACAACTAGAAGTTTTTAAATCTTTACCAATATACGATACCAATACTTTAAAAATGAATGATAAATACTCTTTATGAACTTTTAATTTGATTAATGTAATCAATAATAACATTATTAATAAAAAACTAAAAAAAAAAATAACTTTTAAAGACAGTACTTTTTTAAAGTTTATAATTTGAAACAACCTTTTTAAAGTTAATAATTTGAAATGCAATAATTGTAACAATAAATAATAAATAATAATATTTAACTATTTTGTCATTTTTCTAAATGAAGATATGCATTTCAATCACAATTTTTTTACTATTCAAAAAACAATATATTAGACCTAACAACATCTTAAAATAACTCTATATAACTATATTCCGTATATATAACATAAACTATTTAATTTATGTTATATTTGATTCAGGTAATCTGCAGTGCTTGAACTAAACTGAGCAGTGAAAGCCCACAGAGAAATATGAAAAATTTCTATTGAAAATAGTAATAAAAACAAAGATGAACAAACAGATGTTCAGATTAAACACAGATTTATTTTAAGAAGAAAAACCTTATACAAAAATCATAGTCAACAGTAATTTTATTGTTAAAGTATACCTAAAACAAAACCGGACACATAAGTAATCCATAAATCTTCATTAAATACAAAAGTTTAATTTACTTTAAAACAAATATACATATGCAAATTTAACATGCAATTTTTTCCACTTTGCTCTTTATATAATTCAAGACAATTCATATGTACAAAAAAAAAATCATAGCAATATAAATAACACTTTAACATAAAAAATTTTTAAGTTTTTTCATTTAGTCAAGTAGTATAACAAAACTTAATTTACATTTAGCTAACTAGTAAGATCAAATTGTAAAAAAAATCAGACCAGCAATCAGACCTTTTTATGTTTATGTTGTAGTGATATAGTGGTTTGAGAGAAATTCTAAAAGCCAATAAGCTTCTGAAAATGTCTTGAAAGTGACATTTCATTATGTAACACATGTTGAAAAATTTTATGATGCAATAACATGCATTAGTTATATTTAAAAAAACTTATTAATCATAAGTAATGATATTTTCATGACAAAACCTTCTTTCTTATTACTTTGAAATCATTATTAATATATTCATTAATAAGAATTTTTTTTGATGGTCAGGTTTTTTTGTGTTAGTAGTTTTGTGTTTTGTTGTCTGTTTTTTGGTTTAAAGTTGCAAGCAACACTTATTATTAACAGAGATTAATAAGAGCTCACCTGTGAATATTGTTAACTTTATTTTGAAAAATGGAAACATTTTATCAATTGCTTTTATGTAATAAATGTGTTCAAAATTACTTTATTTTTTGTCCTGCATTTTCAATTACTTATTGGTTTAATTGATTTTGACATTTTTGAATAGATTTCTGACTAACTTCAATCAATGTTCTTTTTAAAATCACTATATCTGTTTAGCCTGTTGATGACTAATACTTTTTAAATGAAATTAATCTTTTTTTTTTTTTGAAATTGCATATTTTAATAATAAAAATAACCATATCTTACCTGTAGACTACCAGAAAGGAGATCAAATAAATGTAAGTTGCTTTTTGAGAGAACATTATCTCTTTAATTATAGACATTATTCTCTTTAACTTTTAAAAACTTGGCAACTTAAAATGAAGAATTAAATGATGCAGAACTTTGTGAGATATGTTCCAACATTTATATGCTTGTTCATGTTTTCTCTTGTCACTTCACTTTTATCAGGAGATCAAATTTTTCATTTAAATATGGATAAATTCATGTAGCACAAAATAAAATTTTAGATAACACAGATGTATGATTGTTTTGAAAAACTTGCAGATGCATAAAACTTTGTCTGAAATATCGGTTTTATCTATAGATAAAGCCGATATTTCAGACAAAGCATGAACAAAAAAAACTGTCCATTATTTTATTACTCTTGTCTGTATAACTTTATCAACTAGGGTAACAGGGGGTATTAAGCCCCATGAGGCATTAAGCCTGGAAATGGCTGAAATGGCTGGTGTTATTGTACTAAGAGAGAGGGGCATTAAGATCTACATGATAGAGACTAACTAACCAATAAGGAAAATTTTCATAACCATTCTAGGGTTTCTTACCAAGGGCATTGATTTTTAAATAGAATTTATAGATAAGTGGTTTTTCCATCCAGTTTCCAATTTCCTTTAAACTCGATGAATAACTTTAATAAAAGCCAGTGCTTGTTTATTTTGACTTAAAAAATTATTTCTTCATTGAAATTTATATATTTTCCACACAAATACAAGTACATATAAACTAATTAATTTTTTCAAGTTTTTAACTATCTGTGTTTTAACTATCTGTGTTATCAATAAGTTAAAATACTGATTTTTGTAGAGCAAATGAAGCTAGAAATTTTAGAAAAGTAAAATGGCAGTTGGATGAACATCTATGAGATTGTTTATAAATAGCAAAAAAATTCACTTTAAAACTAAATTTCTATTAAAGATTTTAAATGGGTAGTATTTATGGTTCTATTGAATATTAATTTGTTAATTAGTTTATAAAATAAATTTTGTAATTAGCAGGGGTTTAATGCCCCGTGTTAATGCCAACTGTTTAAAAAGGTGATTAAAACAATCAAACAACATTGATCAGATAAAATAAAATTTATATTTTAATTTTATAAACATTACACAGATATAGTTTAAATTGAAAAAAAAAGTTATTTATTTGTAGAAATAGTTTAAATTTTTCTTTAAATATAGCTTTGATAATGTAGGTTATTTCTTCCTCTATTTAGCAGAATGGTTTGGACATACAAAAAGAATAAGAAAGGTGGCAGGAAAACCTATGCAACTAAGTAGACAATGACAGATGCCTACAATTATGTCATATGTAAGCAGTTGTCTGCTAACTAGGAATCCAAGCACTATTAAAAGTATTTACGAGCACTAGTGCTCACAATGATTTTGTCTCAACATCACTGCTATGTGTATTGGTGTCAACATCATAGTCATCTACAACACCATCAACAGAATCGTCATCTTTATCTTCAGCACCTGCAGAAAGACCACAGACACCATTTTCTACTTCATTTTCAGAAAAGTCATTTAATAAAGATTTTTTTCTCAAAGAACTGCAGCCCAGATTTGTACAAACTTCTGGGGATGGTAGGTTGGTTAGAATCATCAGGTTTCCGTGCAAAGAAAGCCTAACAGGTGATGAATGTTTAAAACGACTGAGAGAAAAAGCAATAAAAAAAGATAATGCTCCAAGAAAAAAGACCACAACAAAGAGAAGAAATCTTTCAGCCTGAGATGATAAGGACAGTGATAAAGATGACGACACTTTGTCTAAAGTGTGGTGTTCACAGAGGTCAAAGAAAAGTAACTTGTGATGTTTGGTAAATGCACAGAAATTCCAGCTTTTTTTCACTATATGAGTGTAAGTTTTGCTGGATGAAGCTTTTATACATATAAAAATAAGTGTGGTCTATAACTAAAAAATATTTTCAGTTTGATTTTAATATTTATTTACTTATTTCAAAGAGTGAAAAGAAAAGTTCTTGAAAACATATTACCCCTGTTACCCTAATGTAGTAAAGATTTTATGACCAGTGAATTAAACTGAAATTAGAAAAGGCCGTTTCTTTTTGTTTAATTTGTCACAAAACTGTATATGCAGCGTTATGTGCATATTTTTGGAGAGTGGGTTTGCTCTGTATGTGTGAATGTGTTTCATCTTTTACTTCGATAACAATTGAATACATGTTTCTTTAACCTTCTATTTACTTTGACTTTGAATTCATTTGGATTTAGTATTAAATTGTCACTTTCTTATGTTTACTAGATTTCTTAGCTGATGCTTTCATTAACCATTTATTTTTCTATATCTACAATAAAAGTAGTATAAACAGTATTGATGATAACGTATAACTAAATCTTTTTTTACCGCGGTTGGTAAGGAGTAACCCAATAGACACAAGATGTATTCTAAACGTTTAAAACACGTATTAGTACATTTTCATTCGTTTTTAAAACGTTAAAAACTTGTACTCACTAACAAATTTCGCAAGGATGATATGACGGCCCGTAGGAACAAAAATTATATTAAGTGGAGGGAGGAGGGGCAATACTACTGGGTCGGTCAAATAATAGTAGGTCAAAATTTTTTTGTCAAAGGAGCTTATGCCGAAAATACGGATAACAAATTATATTGTTTATATTCTTTTTTTTATTTTATTTCGTAATTGGTAATTGTTTGCTTTTTTCTAAAAACTAACTTTATTATTTATTAATAAAATTATTTATTTGAAAATTATTGAGGGAGGGGGATGTCAAATGCCCCTGCTGCCCACCACCCCATCCCGTTTAATACGGGCCTGTAAAAGGTTAGTTTTAAATTTGAATTGATTTCATTAAACACTAAAATATAGATAAAATACAGAAATACAGAAAAAACAAACCATGTCGTTACACTAACCCGTACTAATAAGTAGGGACAAGCGCTCAAGTAACAACCTTCAAAAAACGTACTACTTTGCGTCCCACGTGAAATGTGGGGCACGAAACTTCTTGTTTATTATATGTCTTTTGTGTGTGTGTGTGTTTTTTAAAGGTCCTCAAGAAGTCCTTACAGTCTCATCAATTGTCAGCTTTTATGAACGTCCTTATCTTAGAAGGATGATACTTAAATTCTGTGTTGTCTTTAACAAGTTTATAAATATGCTTTTCTTAATTTCAAGTTTAATTTTTTGATAAGAGGTGCATCTTGTAAATTATTTTTGACGTGGTATATAATTCTTGCTGATTTTTTATTCGTATGGTGTCGAGATCCTTCTAAGACTTGAAAGGCTTTTTTTTTTTTGCTTCTGAAATCTTTTAAATCTAGGATCAAGATAAACTACGAGTAATTTCACACTTTTAAGATTTTTTTTACATTTTTAAAAATATTGTGAAATCATCCAGATTTTTTTCTTTCGAGGAACTTTAAAGACTTTAAGTTTATTTAAGTTATTTGTATGCAGATCAAGTTTACTAGAATACTTTTTCAACGACTTAAATAATTCCGGAATTATTTCATCTCTTTAAGGAATGCTTTTTGTTATTCATTTCCAAGAAGTGAAATATTTTCCTCTGAATTATTTCTTACTCTTTGGTATCTGTTTCCTGAATCACTTTTAAGCCATAAATCTGTTTTTAAACTGCTGCTCATAACTTTTTTGTTACAATAATTATTTTGGATGCACTTGGCTATCAAAGACCTTCGATAAGTCGACAAAAAGCGCTCCAACATATAATCCCTTATCTTTTGAGATAAATCATAAATTGATTACTGATAGTAAAGCACTCATAGTTAAAGTGATGTCTAAACCTTACTGTGTGATGTCTAAATCTCACTGTGTGATGACGCTCTCGACTGAGTAATGTATTTTTTAACCATAATACAAAATTTCAAGGCATTTTTTAGTTGTCCTGTTTTTTTTAATTCGCTCGTTTTAACAACACTGAACTGGACTAACTAACAACACTGAACTGGACTAACTAACAACACTGAACTGGACTAACTAACAACACTGAAATAGACTAACTAACAACACTAAACCGGACCAACTGTTGTTGCTCTTAATTAGTGTGTTTACAAATAGTTTTTTTTTTCATAAGTTAAAAAAATACAATAAGTTACGTTGTTTTTCGTTTTGTTTTCAAAATTTAGTTGAATAACAAATTTTGAAATTTGGTTGAATACCAAATTTTTTTCAATCTTCTCAAGTTTTTTTCATAACTACTTTTTCTCAATGAAGGGGATACCTGGGGCTTATTTTAGGAGAATTTTTGTTCCAATTTAAAAATCTTGTTGTGTCCCCTTTAAACAAAAGTTTTTTAGAGGCTAATAGCAAAAGTTTGGCACAAAATATGTCAAAATTCGGTGAAAATAGTCTCAATAAATTACGGCAGTTATCTGTTAATTTGTTAAAGTTAGAAAATTGATTCATAAAATTAGTAATAAGGTTAAACAATATTAAGATTTTAATGCAAAATAATTTTATTTTCATAACTTTGATTTGATTGCAGAATGCTATTTTGAAATAAACTTGATCCTAACTAAAGAGAAACCTAAACAAAACACAAAAGCTTATTGTTGTTTTTTTGTTGTGTCTAAGAAAAATAATAGTGATAAAGATTTATAACCGTTCAATTAAAACTTTTAAAAATAAACAGAAAAATCTAAAAAAAGAATTGGTAATATTATAATTAGTTAACACATGAACGGACAAAAATCAAACGACATCAAATTACTAAGTATTATCTTTTTCTTAAGTATAAATACTGTTTTTAGGGTTATTTAGGGTTAATTATGATAATTATGTTAATTATGTTCTTCTTGTTTTTTTATCTGATTTTGATTTTTTAAATATTCTTATTATGAAATATGTTTTATCTTAAAGTTTTCTGTGAATGACAAAAAAAAGTTTCGTTACACAATTCAATTGATTATGAAATATGTTTTATCTTAAAGTTTTCTGTGAATGACAAAAAAAAGTTTCGTTACACAATTCAATTGATTATGAAATATGTTTTATCTTAAAGTTTTCTGTGAATGACAAAAAAAAGTTTCGTTACACAATTCAATTGATTATGAAATATGTTTTATCTTAAAGTTCTCTGTGAATGACAAAAAAAAGTTTCGTTACACAATTCAATTGATTTAAAAACAAAAATTAAAAATGTAATAGTAATAGCAATACTATAAACCATAAAATACTTTAAAAAATATACCTTTAAAAAAAAACTAGAACACTTTGAAATTAAAAATCAA